AAGCAGACAATCCAGGAGAAACAGTGACCACTCAATTTGACTCTGAAAAAAGAGGAACAATATAGCTAAAATCACAAGATGACCATAACAGAGAGTTTAGTATTAGTATTCTGTGATTTTGTTTTAATTTACAGCACCAGTTTAATGCATTTTATACAACAATACAAAGTGCTGGTCTGTCAGTTCAAAAGGTTCATACTTTATTAGTCAAGGGCACATTAAATTGATCAAAAGTGATGTTACAAAAGATTTCTATTCCAAATAAATGCTGTTCTTTTGAACTCTCTGTTAATCAAAGAATCCTGTATCACAGTTCCAAAAATATATAATAAGCAGCACAACTGAAGGATCGTTTCTGAAGGATCATGTGACACTAAAGACTGGAGTAATGGCTGCTGAAAATTCAGCTTTGCTATTACAGGAATAAAATATATTTTATAGAAAAACTGTTATTTTAAATTCACAATGTTAGTGCTGTACTGTATTTTTGACCAAATAAATGCAGCTTTTTTTGAGCATAAGAGACCTCTTTCAAAAACATTAAATATATATAGGCATATATATAAATAAACTTTGTGAATATATAATAATTTTAATGCACTTTTTTTCTTTTACCATTAAGTCCAGTCATTAAGAATGTGTGTTGTTTCACGATCATTACTTTTCTGTTGACTTGCAAGTATTAAAATAACATTTTAATAGCATCCTTGATTCATTATCAAAAAAATTCTAAGTTCAATTAATATCCATGAATCATTTCAAACTCTCCACTTTTTTACCGTGCCACATTAAGAGAGTGATGTTTTCAGGCCCATTGCATATTTGGCTTGAGTCGCTCACTGCATGAAGGTTAGTGAGAGTGAGTGGAGGAGTATGTCTTATTAGCCCATAAAGAAAGCTTTTCTAGATGGGTCTAACAGACATCTGGCCAGAACCTCTTTTAAGAACACCACAAGCTCATTATAAACATAAATCAGCTTCCTGGAGCATTTTGCACACACTGTTGACCTGCGGCCAGCACACTGCAGAAAGCTCCAGGGCTCATCAGTCATGCTGCCGCCCCCTCAAACAACCACAACAGCATGCTCTAATGTGGGGAAAGTCAGTACGCTGGATCCCATCTATCTAACCCTTCAGTGAAACACCATCTACCTACCTAGTGCTGTGAGCATTCATTGAGGGTGTGAGCTGAAATTCAGACAGCAGAAATACTAGTCATAGTTTAATACTAATACTAAATGAGGTCACATAGTTGGATTTTAGTTTTTTGTTTTTTTTCCCCCCAATGAGCACAAGAGACATACTGCATGGCACAGTGGCACTGTTTTACAGTATCATTTAGTGGGAGTCTGTTTGACCCATTAGCTGTGTTAGTGGGTTAATCTGGTGGAATAAGATCATCATTTGACAGATTGTGCTAGTAAATGCGTGTGACTGAGGGTTACTGAGCGGAGCACACACACGCATAGAGCGGGATAATACACAGAGCCGCGGCACCCCGGTTGGGAAACACTGCTCTAGAAAACCTTGGTTGTGAAAATTAGACATGGCCTAAGACTTAAAACAGTATAACCAACTAAATGGACCATAATTTTATCCCTCACAACCTCATTTTTAGTAACATCAAATTAAATATGGTGTATCACCAATACATTCATCGAGTGGGACATGTTGGGTTAGGAAGTTGATTGAATAACTGGGTATTTAGCCTTAAAAAATCTAATATGTAATATTGTATTTTGTGTGTGTATGTGTGTACCACACAAGCTAAATTGAGCATAATGGAAAAATGGGTTTTTAAAGAACATTTATGCAGCTTCTCTTCAATTCAAGAACCTATGGTTTCTGCCTCAAAGTATAATATAAAAAGGGTTATTATGAGATATTTTAGTTTAAAATAAGAAATAAAAACCGCACTGTGAGATGAAGTCACACTGCTGTGCTTCTGAAGTGTTTGTGTGACTCTGCTGGGTGATCAGTGCCTGCTCTATATTTTAGCAGGAAGTACAAACCCAAATACGAAACTTGTTATAAATAGATGCTGTTCCTGTCGGTTACTCGTTATTTAAGTCTTCCCATCCAGCCATGAGTCATGTGCATCAGTTTCCCTTCCAAACAAACTGTGTCATGTAATAAATAGGCTTATACAATGACTTCCATGCAAATGTCTAAAGAGTCAAGTTTAGATGATCCCAACTTCTCATGGAGCCAGATTCAGCAGGCTTTCAGAAACAGCTTATCAATAAGATAAACAAGAGAATAGACAAATGACGGCATTGCTTTAAACACAGAGCTATTTGAGTGAATGGAGTGTAATTCCAGCCCTTCTTATGTTTGTGTTTTGTTTGTCATCCAACATAATATGAGCTAAAACAAATCTAGATTTATAGATCTAAATACTACCCATCTGGAGACCCATATCTCCCACTAATAATTAAAAATCAGTACCTTACTTTAGCATGGCTAAGTCACTTGCAAACACATGAATACTGCCTGCTAATATAGGAACACTCCTCAAGTGGAACAGGATCGTGTCTTCTCTATTCATGGACTACCAGTTTATCATTGAGAGAGAGAGAGAGAAAAAAAACAGCACAGAATTTGATGTGCTACAATGTTGCATAACAACCTTAAAACAAATGAAATAGAATTCATTTATATGGGCATTTATGTTATTTTTTCCGCAACGCCATGAACTAAAGGTTGATACTAAATGTTTTAGTATCACTTACTAAACCTTTAGTAAATGATACTAAAGGTTTACTAATACTACATTAGCAATGCAAACCATGACAGTGCAGTGAAACACCTCATATGAACTTGAAAAGCAATAACAACAAAGTGAAGTTAAACTCACTCACCCAGCTCACAGAGGCAGAGGCAGTACACTTATCCAAGCTCACACTGCCACACTTAATGTAGAGCTTTAGGTTTTGTTCACTGCAGCTACTCCACAGTAAACAAGCCTGTCCCCTCTTGAGACGACTGGCACATTGGGTTGCTAATCTGCACAGAGTTCGAGCAGGCAAGAGGGCAAATACAGGCGAGAGGTGGTAAGCAGTATGAGACCGTGGGGGGCCGCACTGATTCTGACAGGGTGGAGATGACAGAGTCAGCTGGACGGTGCATGGCCCTTGGTAACACTCGTAAACAAACATAATGCCATAAACTAAGCAGAAAGGATTTTACCCTTCCCATAACCCCCTTAGCCTGTCAACAGGGCCCCAAAACAATTACATTAAAAATAGTTTTGCATTAAAAAACTGGAAGACTCCAGTCATATCAATGGCCTTATAAAAGACGTTTAATTTTTTTTACATAGAGCAGGTCGCCTCAGACATATTGTAATGACATGACTACCAATACTACTTGTTTTCTCAGTAAACTTACTATTGCACACTTTTGGTCACAGAATAGATTAATCATCGTTAATCATGAGTGAATATATCATTTCTACAATGGTATTGATAGCTGAAAACTTTTTTGGGGAAATATAATGCTCTATTCACACTGACAGCGATTTTACTGGAGGCCACCAAGGTGCATACTGTTGGTCACTACTAGTAGGTATTCACATTGCTGGATGACCAAATAAAAAAGGCGTTCAATAGAGTACCCATTAAAATCCTTGCAATCCGTACAGAATTACTTTGGGTAATAAGATGCAACATAAAGTGGAATACTGAGTTTCGTACCCAATTTACTCACTTTAGTGTAACCAAAAGCAGTCAGGTTGATCCGGTTATTTTAAATAGTATTTCTAACTTTAATACAACTATTTAGTGAAGGACACTTTTACAATATAACTTGGTGAAAAAAGGTTAATAGGGCACAATAATTTAACTTACCATACCAGTGTTTTCAGCTCTGTTAGGCATCCTGCAAGACCTTCCATTCAATGGCTACTGCAATCGTTCTTGCTAAACTGCCTAGACTGTGATCTTCCCTTCCAATTCCAACTTCGGTTCAACCACACAACTGTTTCCTATTGGAAAACCTTACAGCACACTATAATACATATATGCATTATTTATGTATCATCCATTGTCTGCTACCTGTTCACCTCACCTGTTTACGCTCTTACACATACACACACCCCATACCATTTCACTTATTCACAAAATAATTATTCTCAACTTTTGCTACATAATAATACAGAAACCTGGCCTTTTACATGCAACAAGCAAACAAAGTATTTATTGGTCACTGAAATAAATACTTTTTAATAGCTGACAAATATGCAACACTCCCCTTCTCCTCCCTGAGACCATTATACAGCATTAAAACATTAACATTATTACATAACTATTGCAATAAAGTGCCTAACCAAATATTCCCATCCTTAATGAATGAATAAATGACTGTATTGCAAAATCAATTCAACTGCATAGACAAGGAATGCTGAATAAGATATTAATAAATCATCAAGACAGCACTTATGGTCTATGAACAATCAATGCTGATTGTTATTGATAATTATGCATTCACTTAACAGATATTGAATGCACAGATATTGCTTGTTGTCAAGGGAATCAATTAATTTTTTTCCTTATTCCTATTTTTTTCCTTACTTCCTTTTTTAATTCTCTCATGTCAATTTTCAGCACAATTTAGACTTCATTTGCGATTTTGCGTATTGTCTACAGCCTTTCATTTATCCATATCTGTCATTCCTTTTCCTGCATCCTTTCCCCTCTTACACTGTAGATATTGTCAGGCATCTTTTTGCACCTCCCCCTCTTTTTTTCCCTTCCATTCCCGTCACCTTTCATGCTCTTAGTCTCCCAAGCTCCGACCACTACAGGCCAGTATGAGAAGAGACAGCCAAAATTACATGCTTTTTCATTCATATCCCCCTGACGTCAGCCCAGTCCAACACGAATACTCCCCCCCTCATCCCCTTCTTCTGCCTGCACTGACAACCAACGAACAGCCGGCGATGTCTTCCCACTCATTCTCATTTTGCCATTCTGTCTGAAGCGTCTGAGATGCAGTGTTACCTGGCTGCGTGCGACTCCGATGCAGCTTCCCATCCTGTATTCCATGTCCTCCTGAGGAGAGGTGACTGAAGCACTACAAGGCTTGCAAAAATAATCTCTCCAGGATTGCATCCCCACTACAAAGAAATGGCATCGCTGAGCAATGCAAGCAGGGTGTGAGCAAGTGAGTGCAAGCGTGCGAGAATACCCTCATATGTCTGTGTGTGAGTGTGTGTGAATAAGCCTCATCTACTGCAATGCCCAGGGTATAACTATGACATACATGCACATTCTCTGTTATATAACAACACAATTATATGTTGTAAAAATGTGTCTTGACATTTATTCCTCTCTTACTTTATTGGGTTTTGCAGCGATGCTAAAAGATGCCACTCTGCAAGTGGGTAAAAAGCCCCTGTTATCTTCAGCGACCGTCACACAAGCAGGGAGAGGAGAGGGAGGACAGAAAATACAGAAGCCGAAAGAGAACGAGAAAAATAAAAGAACAGATAATCTGCCAGTTTAAAAGAGCAACAGCTGCACGCATGATACGGTACTGAGCATCAAAAGAAAATTGCCAGGAAAAGCAATGGAGCTACTCAAGTGAAATGGGACAGTGGCAGAAAATAAAAGGAATTTACAAAATAAAGGACAGTCAGGATGAGATAGATTAAGCCCTATGAAGATTGATGGACTGAATTCAAAATATTCATTCTTTAACTGGCATTAATGTCAGCAGGAAAACAAAATTGCCCCTTGTTATTTTCTTAATGCATGTTACTGGTCAAGTAACAGCTCTATCTATCTATCTATCTATCTATAAAAAATAAGTCCATTAAAAATGTATACTATAAAAATGTCATAACTTGTTCTTATTGAGCCAATCATATTCAGATCTGCCACCATTCAGTACCATCCAATCAATAACCAGTGGATAAGATCAAGCCCGCCCCACTTTTTATTTTCAATATGCCGTTAAACTGTGTCACAATACCGTAGTAAAGATGGTCACGACATCAGTTTCATGTTGACGTCCAAAAAAAAATGTTATTGATTTGACTGAGGCATAGGCTGTCTCATGCTACAATGGCTTTCTTTTGCATCATAAACAACACGTATTGAAATCAATAAAGATATGGGTATATTGGTCAGTACTGGATATTTAATTGTAGGCATTCATTTCTTGCCTGTTTTTTATTAAAAATGAAATTGTGCCATCATCTAGAGCTAACTTAAAGTGACAGCACTACATAACACAAATATTTAATCATTTAGGTTTCTTAAAGGAATAGTTCACCCAAAAAATGATAATTTGTTGAAAATGTGCTCCCCCTCATTCCATCCAAGATGTAGATAAGTTTGTTTCATCATCAGAAGAGATTTGGAGAAACTTAGCATTATATCACTTGCTCATCAGATTTAAATTTTTGGGTGAACTCTTCCTTTAAAGAGTCATTTCCTATAATGATGACCCAGTAGGAACTATCATTATTGGGTCTTTCTCACAAAAAATATTGAACTTTCTCATCAAATATTTATCTTAAAATGAATAGTTATGCATATTTCATACTGCAAATGACAATGCCGTGATCCCGAAAAATGAAGCATCACAACACTGAATTGACATTGACACAAATGACTGATTTTAGTTTTAGTCCATGATTGTTATTTAAGACTAAATATTACTGAATTTTAATATCAGTCATAACATGAAAATAATTATCAGTATTGACCAGAATTATCTGTGCATTCCTTAGGAAAATGAGCTGTCAGCAAAAATGTAACCTTTACCTCCGAAACAGAAAGCAAAATTCTATTTAAAAAATTGCCTTTTCAAATGAATGCATTACTTACACCAGTGTTTCTCAACCTTTTTTTAGTCGCGGCACCCTTTGGAAATTTTAACAAACTTGTGGCACCCTACAAAATTAATTTTGTTACAATATTTGAATCAATAATTATTGCCAAAAACAGAAATGGATATTATATAATAGATGCTTTTTTGAAAATTTTAGCAATTTAAAAATATTAAAAAAGGATTTTTTACACGGCACCCCGGTTGGGAAACACTGACTTACACATTACACATTATTTGTTTTGATACATATCTTACTAATTTGTATTCACTAAAAATGGACACCAGGAAAAGATACTGCAGTTCCCTTAAAATTAAATAATAAAAGTGTTTAATAAAGACAAACTTAAAAATACCTCATGAAAGATGAAAAAATTAAGAACATTTGAGGATATCGACAATAAATTTGGTAAATGGCAATTAAAAGCTATATAAATAATTTTGCTTTTATATGGAGCCATTTTATTAAGTGAGACAGGATTTCAGCCAATTTGAAATACAAAGATTTAGAACTTCAAGCAGTAAGTCACACACTTTTTAACTGAGGCCTGAAAAAAAAAAAAAACTGCAGTAAGAAATCAACAGAAATCAATACTACACTAAAATCACAACTTCAGCCACTGACCTGAATGCAGATTTACACCACCACACTGTCCTAAAAGTCCCTGCAGCTTAAAGAAGTGTCTTGTGAACATGAGTGTTACTCTGACAGCAGGCAGATCCCTCCAAAAGGCTTCAGATGTCAGTGGGATCAAACTACAGGGCAGTTAATCCAAGCTTGGACCAATCTGTGTGCATATGGAGGGCCGCACCACTGCACACATGGACAGCTCTCTATCGCCTCCCTGCATAAGCATTTTACACAGACTTTATATGAACATGTAACAGACAACAAAGCGCAAGAAAATACAAATATTGCCATATGGCAATATTTATATACTTGACTAGAGGCAGCAGTCAAGAGTATGTATTCATTAAGAATTTTTAAAGAGTAGTTTTAAATCACATTCACACATATTCAACTTTATTAAAAAAATTGTAATAATAAATAATAACGTTATTTCACCTCTATGTGGTTGTGTTCAACTGTAATCTGAACATAATTACTGACAGGGAAGTCAGGATATGGCAAATATTGAGGTTCATCTTCTTACTACATACTTTTGTGACCCGATTAATGATTACTATTAAGAAATTGAAACAAAACCCGAAAAACACAACACTATGCACATATTTAGTTAATCTGCATTAAGTTTCTTATCTACACACAATCAAAGTTAGGCTTAATAGCTTAGATAGTAAAATGATATTCAAGGAAATTACCGTACCTTGTTAAATTAAGTATAAGCGGACACTCTGTAGTATGAGGGCTGTGCAAATGGAGATTTGACTTGCAAATAGAATATCTTTACATAATGGTTTACAAAGCAAACCTGTTTTATGAAATATTGATCCCATGTGAACAGAGAGACATTTTCAAGCATCCAGACACCGTCTATATGCACACAATTGACCAGCTTCTCTGAATATTTCAAATTCAGAGGAAAAAAAACAGATATGTACATTTACAGACAGTGGAGAGTTATGAACCTTGCCTGTTTCCATCAAACTAAAATATTTCTTTAGTTTTACTTGGAATCCAACACTCAATATAATGTTGAGTGCAAGTTCACTTTACATTTATTGTATTAGACACAATTATTACATTTTATACAGAATTCAAAGGCATAACTTAAAATTGTGATCCCAAATATTAAAAATATAAAAAGAAGAAAACAGTATTTTTTATTTTACAAATATTTTGCCGGCTGCCGCTAACTATCCTCCAACTTAGCTTTACTGCGACAAAACCTCTGGAGCAGGGATCAAGGCTCCCTTAATATCAAAGGCATCGATGATTTCCTGCAAGACACAGATCATACAAGTTATTTAACGTAAAGAACAGCCTGTTCCAAGCTAAATAAATATTTGAACACGGAAAAGTTGTAAAAAAAATGTGTCTCAAATACCCTTAATATCAAAGGCATCGATGATTTCCTGCAAGACACAGATCATAGATACAAGTTATTTAACGTAAAGAACAGCCTGTTCCAAGCTAAATAAATATTTGAACACGGAAAAGTTGTAAAAAAAAATGTGTCTCAAATAATTGTTAAAGATACAAGCCTCTGGTAATCCCGAAAAGAAAACAATTTCTATCTCAATTAGAATCCAGAAAACACTTCTTTCCGACCCCAAACATCTGCTTTAATATTGCAAATATACACCAAATGCAGTCATAAAGTGCTCACCCTCCAGCTTTCCTGGTTGATGGAGACGACACATTGATGTCGGACAGCAGCTCCACCAGGCTCTACCTCTCCTTCCTCTACTGGAGCTATAATACACCCATAATACATATTATCTCGAAGTACATTCAAACAAACACAACCAAAATGGTGACCTGTGGATTTGATCTTACCTATACAAGGAAGCCCATCCTTATCCAAGTTCATTTTCACCAGACCATCCTGAGGGTTATATTTCATTCATTATTGTGAGACTTATGTTTAATCTCCAAAGCTGTTGTTGCCTCTTAACTTACCCTTATGAGAAAAGACGTGTGGAAGATGTTCTCCACAGTCCGGGAGAAGGAGTTGGGGTCAATGACGAACTCAAAATATGAAATGGGTTCCTCAGCTGTTCCGGAAAAGGTCGTTTTTAATGGGTTTTGAAATAGTCTGTTTTGCTTAACTCTGACATTTTATTTTCATTTTATTGTAACATGCTTACGGTCATCAGCAAAGTATTTTTGCAGACATCCAAGAATTCTTTCAACCTCTTTCTCTGTCGCCTCCTGGTGAGATTCTTCCATTTTCTTCAGCTGTGATGACAAGATATTTTCTTAATTTCTTAAAATCAGACAGATTATCAAGAATATTTCCAGAGACTGTCAGCATTTGCATTATGATGAGCACACCTGGGTGGGCATCATTCGTTTGGCCTCTTTGCTGGGTGCTTTCCTTTGTCTTTCAACTCTCTGCCGTGGCGGAGGAGGCTCTGCCAGAAACGAGCCCAACCTTGAATTGAACAAAAATAACAAAGGTATTGTAAACTGCACATTGTATTTGTAAACTCTCCAAAATGAGGCTGTCAGAAGATGCTCTGTTTTTGTAAGATATAGTACAGCTTAGTAGCCAGTGGAATCAAACAGATTCAGAGGTTTAGTGTAAATAAAAGTAAGATAAAGGCAAGTTTATCCAATAAATACCATGGAAAATTATATTTACTCATTACACAAACTTTACACAAAACAAAAGTTTGGAGTAGTTACGTTTTTTTTCTGAAAATCTTCTTATGCTCATCAAGGCTGCATATATTTGATCAAACAGAGTAAAAATACAGTAATACTGTGAAATATTATTACCATTTAAAATGACAGCTTTGTATTTTATTTTATTTTTTTAAATGTAATTTATTCCTGTGATGGCAATGCTCAGTTTTCAGCAGCCATTTCTCCAGTATTTAGTGTCACATAATCCTTCATTAGAAATCATGCTAATATGCTGATTTCTTGCTCAGAAAACTTTCATTATTATCAATGTGGGGGGAAAAAGTGCCGTTTAATATTTTTGTGGAAACTGTGATACATTATTTTCAGGATTCTTTGATAAATAGAAAGTTCAAAAGAACAGCATTTATTTAAAAGAAATAATTTGCAACATCATAAATGTCTTTAGTGTCACTTTTTATCAATTTAATGTGTCCTTGCTAAAAAAAAAAAGAATAATTTAGCTTTGAACTGATTCCATTACATCAATAGTTTCATCAATAGTTTCATTTACTACAGAAGTGGGCCACAAAGACATCAGTATGATATATCAGTACAAGGGGCAAGAATGGAATCACAAAACTAGCCTAATAATAACATACTCTTTAGAAAACTTCATGAAAATCGTTGCAATTACCTGCAAAATAATTACAAATATAATGTGAATTTCCAATATATAAGCCTTACACACTTACAATTACCTTATCACCTTCAGTTTAATTTTACTTAAACTGACCCTTACTACAGACATACTCACATGTAGTGGAATGAGGGGGCTGTTTTGAAGCAGTACTCGGATCTCTTTGCAAGCCTCTGCCAGGCGCTTTGTGGTAAATATCCCTCCAAGTTCCCATCCTGACCACTTTCATCTTCCAAACGATTCAGACCCATGAAGGACAACTAGAATGATCAATATGAGAAATCAATCAAGGAGAAAATCATTTCACAGTAAATCTAAGCATGCTTTTCTCCTCTGACACTAAATACAAGATCTGGGCTGCGTTTCTCAAAAGCATCATGAGCTGGTGGCAATGGTTCTACAATCTACTTAGGCTTACAATGCTTTTGGAAAACACAGCCCTGCCATTTCCTCTCACAGTAACTTACCAAATGTTCTGCAAATGCAGACGGGTCAAACGCAGAGCCTTCAGCATGTAGCTGGCTGGCCTTTTCCTTCCCTAGATCAGTGGCTAGTACCAGGAGTTGAGCATCCAGCGCTGCTTCACGAGCCTGCCTCACTGAAAACAAACCAGCAGGAGACAATCATGAAGACATAATACATAGAAAATGAAAAGTATGTGTGGAGAGCTCTGCTAGACCATGCATCCTACTAATTGACTGAATTGCATTAGTACTGTATGTATCAGAATATGTAGCGTAGAAAATTAATACCATTGGCAAAAAGTTTGTTGGCCTCTTCTAAAACATCCGTGAGTTTATTGTTAGCTGGGTTCAGCATGTCCTCACGATTTTCTGTGAACAAAAAAAAGCATACTCAACAATATACTTACAACACTTTATAACTGCATCATTGAAGCCAACTTTAACAGTATTAATACTCACGCTGGACTTGATTGATCAGATCCCTGTACTTGCTCCTGATCTCTCTCCTGCGTGTTGGATCATCATCTTCCTCACTAATACCTGAGGGTCCGGCACCAATATCATCTTCATCACCCATATCACAAGCTCTCTCTGACCTGTTCCGCCCACCCAATCCATTGGATGTTCCCGCTGACTCCTCTTGACTCCCTCTAGACCTTCTCCTCGAATCAGACATCTTTAATGTTTCTGCTTGATTATCTATTCTGAGAGACACATATGTCTGAATAATAGTATTACAGAAACTTAAATTCCTAGACCTGTAAAGTCAGATTATATTGTAACAAACATTAAACAGACCTAGAAATGACAGTAGCACACCGGGAAGTGTTTTAAAAAGGTAAGTAGGTTTCACCCAAGTATTTGAGGATAACATAATAAAATATAACATAATATAATAAAGTACAATATGCAGCATAATTTATTAAAGCATCGAATAGCACAGTATCTTAATATAGTATGCTTCCTGCTAACCACATGGTCAGTAAACACAGTATTTTAGAGAGACTTTTATAAAAATAAAAATAAATAAATAATAAAAGTTTGTTTACAAAACAATTGCATCGTGTGTGCAAGCAATCCATGAAAATAGACAGACAGTGATCATATCTGCGATCCACTGCTGCTGACCTAAAAATGCGATGAGACATCGGAATATAACGACAGAGAATAATTAATAAACACTGAGGTTCAAAAACTAGCCAATCAGAATGTATTATGAAAACTTACAAACTTTAAAAACTGCAGGGTTCATGTCTGTCATTTGTATCAACGGTGAAACCTTTGCGAGAGTAGAAGGAAGTGTTTTTACTGGCGTCACGTCATTACCGACGCATTCTATGACGAAGCTTGTGGCTATAGTACATTGAGCTGGTATCATATTAGGTTTTATATTATTTTATTTATTAGTTCTTCCCCGGTTTATATTTTTATACTATGTATACGATATTGTTTAAGCATTAACAATTGCTATTACAACTTTTGTCCGATTTGTCACTCACGTAATCTCACATCCTTGTGGTAGTTGTAGTCCTTATTAAGCAACTTGTTAGCAATTTACCTTAAAACACATACACACACAGTATATGTTGTTGAACAAACCTGAAAACCAGAGACCTTAATTTGCCAATGCATCGAAAACCACTGTAAAATTCCAGAGGAAATTTCTAAAGGAATCTATGGCGAATTAGCCTCCCTTGTTGGCCTACAAATTGACGTCATGACTGAGCCGTTCTTATATTTTTTAGCGTTTACATTTTTACAGAATGAAAAAATTGTCAGTTCAACACTAAGTTGCGAATTTGTATTTTTCAAATAACTGTAACTATATTTAGATAGACACTATGAATAAATAAAAATGCGACTGTGTTGACGTAAACTGATTATGATTTTACACACACAATAGGCACAATAAGGTGGATGAAAGCAGAAACGTACGTAGGAAACATATTAGTAATTATAAGGAAATATATAGTAGATCCTCGTAGAAAGTTGTGTCTGATATGATGTAGGTTAGAGCAGGGTAATGAATTAAACTCCTCCCTTCAACAGAGAGAAGAAAAAAAAAGACTAAAAACAACGCATAGGGTGTGTTTCAAAACTTAGTAAGCTGCCTATCTAGACAGGATTTCGGGCTGTCACAGCGGCGTGCGTTGTTGCACAATAATGCTGTCCGAGTGCGCGCTTCGCTGGGTATTGAGACACAGTCATTAGATTCCGGAAATGAACAAACTCGTGATGTCAGGAGGAGTGGAAGAGAAACAGACAGCACAGGAGAAATTTACGTTTATTTCGAAGGATTTATGGACTGTAGAGATATGACAGCGTCATATGATGGAGTTAACGCGTGAAATGAGCACTGGACATGTTTCAGGGAGATTGTGGATGATCGCTGGTCCAAACTGAAAGTGTTTTCACGCGCATCGTGTGCTTCCTATTCCAGATCAACGTTTCAGCAAACATGACGCGACTCGCATTGGAACAAGTGACTGATTTCGGCGATTTCACGAAAGGAAAAAATCTAAAAGAGTTTTTCAAACAGGCATACTCCAACATCTCATCTCAAAACTGCCTGTCCGATGTGCGTCTGAGTCCAGATGGACGTCACATTCATGTCATTGTGCGTCAGCCCAAGAGTGGTCTTATGACACATGACAAATATCAGCGAGCCCATCTCATGCAATGCCAGAAGCAGGTTGATTTAGTGCTAACTGGAAATGTGCCTATAGTGGATGTCATTTATATCCCTCAAAGCAAACCAGAAGATGGAGCCTCTGTGTTGGGAGTTATTTTTGAGAATGGAAGAGTGGAATTCTGGAAATTCCTAGAGTGCAGATCAGGCTGGCATTTACTCCAGACTGTAGATCTGTGTAAGAGCCCTCGTGCTAAAGTAATTTCGGTGTGCATGTGTCAGAATTTCATTATATGGTGTGAGGAGCGACCACCATCTGAGAACTCCAATAGTGTGAGCAGCAACCTCAGGTTTTGCATCTGCAAAAAGACTATAGAAGTTAATGAGGGGGGTGTCAGTTTGGGAAACGTGAAAATTGCATTGCACAATAATCCTCGATACACAACCATCAGTTCTGGGGATTTGGTCTATCTGCTCCCAGATATGAGGGAAAACCGTGTTTCTTGCAAGGTGTTTCTTGCATGGTCTCCTGAACATGACCGCTTTAAAGTGCATAGTGCCTGTAGTTGCACACTTATGAAAAGCTCGAGCAAGGAATCCGACTTCAAGAGACTTGTTACAGACTGCATTGGCCTTCTATTCACCATAAATCCTCCTGATATCTGTGGATTTTCTCCAACTGGATGTGGAGACCTCCTTCTCCTTCTCAGCACTGGTTGGGTATGCATTATGAAGAGGGACGGCGGTCTTCGCAACATATACAAACTTCCTGATAACTGCCTAAGTGCTAGTGGGTCCCAAAATAGCCTTAATATATATAACGAAATCCTGGCACTAACAATAGGCAGGACCCTCTTCTTAATCGACACCAAATGTGGTCTGGAATTAGAAAGAATAAGTCTGAAAACAGAAGGTCTTCTCTTCGTAAACACTTTGGATAGTCACTGTCCACAAATGCTGTCAGAAACAGGGCTGTTTGTGGTCACACAAAACCCGAAGCCTTCTCCAACGCTTTCAGAAGACTCGAGTGTACTCTTGGTTGAGGCTGTCTTTGAAGAGGCATGTAAATACTATCAGCAAAGAAGTCTAAGTAGCACGCAGCTCACGGTGGAGAAGCTCAAAAAAGGTGGAATGTTTCAAGCGCCCATATCGCTGGCTGCCATCCTCAGGGATTACCTCAGCAACCAGAAGACCAAAACTGGCGAGAAACATTCCACAGGTCAAGAAAGGCTCATAAGCTCACTCGAATCGGAACTCAGGAGTCTTGTTTTGCTGGAGGACATCAAAACATCAGTGGTGAAGGCTTCGGAGAAAGATCTAGAGAACTATTGTGAAAGCTTGGTGCAGCAGGAGCTCTGCCGGCTGCTGAGTGGTGAGCTAGAGAGGGAGAATCTTCAATACCTGAACGGCATCTTCCATCTCTTTCCCACTTACTCCTGGCACGCCATGCAAGCGGTTCTGCATCTGAGGTGCAACGGTGAGGGTTTGTTGTCATCTAAAGCTCCTGCTGAGTTATGGAAAATCATCCTCAGCCCTGTGCAACCCACAGCAAACTTTGCTCACTGCAACGGTCAGCAGAAACACACTGCGGTGCCTGTGTTTGAGCTCTTGTGCCACTCCATCTTCAAATTCCAGCCCAGCTGGCTCCCCAGGATTCTCGAACTGGCACAACAACAATCCGGCGGGTCCTCCAAGTCTTCGTGGGGTTACGGCATGAAGGAGAGCTCTGAGAGCTTGCCGCTCTATAAACGGGCCTTGACGGTACTCCCTTGCAATGGGACCTATCAACATCTGAAAGTGGAGCTGCTTTTGTGCAGTGAGCGGCCTAAAGCAATAATGCAAGCATTGCGGATTCTCATCAAGCAAGGCCAGTGGGAACAGGTTGCACAAGTAGCTGAGAGGTTCTGCCGGCAGAGCCCTCTTCTGAACAAAGAGATTTTCAGTGCTCTGCTGTGCGAAGTGTCCCAACATAGAGACCTGGACCCTTATTTGGACCTGCTGTGGACTCTTTGTCCGGAGGACATGACTGTGACGAGCATACTTAATATTGTATTGAAAGACCTGCCTGATTCGACACAGAACACAGGACCTTTCGAGGCTCACGGCAGCCAGGTCACCATCAGGCTTTTGAAACCGCTGCTCAGAAAAGTTCTCCAAAGGGAGACCAAACCGAGCCAAAGGTACGCAGATATCCTTCAGTCACCCACAGTTCCTCCGCTCACTCCTCCACGCCAGCCAAAGGGACTTTTCAGAGATGCTGAGCAGAAGGAAACCAAGCAGAGGACTTCCTCTGGATCTCAAGCGACATGTCAAGCCAGACTGGTCTGACTTTCCCACTCGCAAATCATGTCTGACCCTTTACATAGCCTGTTATTAAAAAGCTCTTAGAGGTACAGTTCACCACAAAATTAAATTGTGTCATCATTTACTCAGGCTCATGTCGTTCCAAACCTGTATGAACAACAACTAAAAAATATATTCTGTTGAACAATTTTTGTATATACATTGAAAGACAGTGGGGTCCAAAACAAACTTTGGACCCCATTTACTTTCACTGGATTGACTGTATTTCATGTTCCACACTACAAAGTAAGTCATACAGGTTTGGAATGATATGACGGTGAATAAATGAGGACACAATTTCTTTTTTGGGTCAACTGTCTCTTTAAGAAGTATTATTTACCTTGCATGGTCTGAACAAAATTACAGAGCTTCTTCGGGTCATTAGGGCTGGGCAAAAAAATAGATTTTTCGATTAATCGTTTTTTTAAATGACATCGATTCTCAAAAGCCACGAAACGATCTTTTCCGGTATTTATTTCAGCACACATTTAAAACAAGATCTGATTAAGTGAATCTTATCATTAGTCTTCTCCACTAGATGTCATCCTTATTTACCTTGCGATGTTACAACAGAAAGCCTGTCATTCATTCAGCGCTTATCATGGCCTTACGCGTGATTCGCAAGCTGGAAGTTCTTCACGGCAACCCGTCAAAATAGTTTAGTTTAACGTTAAGAAACTGTCAGAATATATTACTATTTAGTATTATATTTAGTAATATACTATTACTATATTACTGCTAATAAATATGAATAAATCTTTATTTTTAAAGGAATAATCACATCTGTTTTCTTTTTAATTTTAACAGTAAACCTCTGTTGTGCAGCACTTTGTTTGCCAAAAAATAAAAGGGTTTAATTTTCATTTGATTAGGATAAATTAAATTAATGTTTTATGCCTTCATCTGATTACCAGAAAAATTAAGAAAATTTTATAAGGCCCTTTTATTGTTTAAAAAAGGACCCTATACAAAAAAAAAAGAATAGGTTTAAAATACAGGCACGTGGTTCTTAATTTCTTTTTATTAACTGGCCATTTGTAAACTGATGTTTACTGTTAATTTTTTAGAAATATCAATAGCATTTGTATTAAAACTATATTCACTGAATGTAATCAAAAAAACGAGAATCGAATCGAATCGAGCGCTTGCGAATCGAAATCGAATCGAATCGGGACATCTGAATCGACACCCAGCCCTAGTAATATGGTGTCCACAGCAAAAACAAACAAAAACTGTCAATAGTATTGACTGTCAATAGTACCTTCACATTGACAAGTTCTTTTCTTTCTTTTTTTTTTTTCTCAGAATGATAAATGCAGTTGCACATAATTACCTTTACTCTGTAAAAACAGAGGACCTCTCAGAATCACTTCCTAATATCCAAGACATCCAGCAGTCATATAACAAGTTCAAACAATTCTTTCTTATCGGTGAGTCACAGTATATACACATCTCTTTCACAGGAAAAGGTGAAACAAAAATCCTCAAATATTAAATGAAAGGATGGATATCACTGTTTAAT